TTGGGTGGGAGAGGGTGAGCGATGGCAAGAGGAGGTGAGCGGATCGTGTGAGATCTGGAGGGTGCCAATTGAAAATGGGAAGGACCCTAAAAGTTGAGCTGGAGAGAAAGAAAATAGGGGGGAGAAAGAGGCTGGAAAGCGGAGGGTGTTGTTTCCAGGGGTGCTGGGGCTTTGGGTTTTTGGTTTCGGAAGAGGAATCAGGGGAGGATTCTGAGCAGGAGATTCTGAGGCAGGAGAAGAGAAAGGGAGGGCAGGAGGAGACAAGGAACGTGGAGAAGCACAGAGCTGGAATGACAAAGTGACAAACAGAGGATAGATGAGGAGGGGTTTGAACCAGAAAATGTGCACAGGTGTGAGGGAGCGGAGCCCAGTAGGGGAAGGAGCGAGCTCTGTGAGTGGACAGGGCGACAGGGCAGGAGAGGCAGGGAGAAATGGGGACTTGGAACCTGGAGACAGGTGAGCTGACAGAGACACATTGATGGCTTATGGGGCGAGGGAGCAAGATGAAGGCTTGCCCACAGGGCTGCGAGTGGCAGGGTGAGTGGGGCCAATGAGGACCATCCAGGTGTGGCCTGACCAACATTCCTCCCCCAGGCGGGCCCCACTTACCATAGCCCTGTTGAAGAGCGCAGTCGAAGGTGGCATGCTCGCCTCTCCCGCTGAACGTCCTGCAAGCCTGGTCCAGGCAGGGCCTCCTTCACGGCGTCATACCCCGCACAGCACACGACCCCGGGGCCCCAAGGTGGACGGTGAACCTGGGCCCATTAGCGCTCGCTGTCTGGGGTGTTGGTGGCATGTTCAGGAGCCACCTGCTCCGATCGGGCAGGTTACTTGAGCCAGTTTCACGTCCTGGATGCCAGTGCGCCCCAGTCAGGGCACGGGGCGTGTCAAGCCTGGCTTTCCTGGCGTAGGACGTCTGAGGGCTGCAACCTTCCAAACTTCCCTTTCTTAAGACTCTGCGTCCAACTGGTCCAACCCTGCCACGAAGCCCCAAGCCCCTCCTGGGAAGCCCCGTCCCATGTCCCCCAGTCCCTGCCTTGTGGGCCACCTTCATGAGGCGAGTTGGTACATACTGCTCTTGTGTTCAGCTGCCAGGTAGTCCAATGAGGGCAGTGGGGTACGTCCTGGAGGCAGCTCCCCCA